TATATAATATTACAATTTATATATAGTATCTCATCTCTGTAAATAAGCTTAGCTCAATTTCTTACATAACTTTTCTTACCTAATCATATTATACAATATCACCTAATCACAGAATCTTAGCTTAGCTTAGATTAGATTAACTAAGCTTGACCTGGCTAATCTTTTGTAACTGTATCTTGTCTTGTCTAATTGCATCTCATCTAAAATCATTTTTATGGTGTCTTGTATTATCTTATATCGTTTTATCATATTGTTACGCTAATAAGATACATGTGATTGCCCAAGTAATTTTTTGGCGGGTTTGGAGTCTTTGGTTCTGAAATAAAGATCAGAGCCAGTTTTGTAATAATAATATTGTTCAAATGGTAAAAAAGAATAATCCAAATATAAAAGCAATTAAGTGTACCAAAAAAGTCATGCGTTTCCTAGAGTCAATTGTTCGGAAAAAAACAAACTTTTTTTTCTCAGTTTCTCAAAATGTCTAAAGATGAAATAGGGATTTCTATTGTGAGCGTGACAATATGATCTAAAGTAATCTGATACTCACCGACGAGGACGAGTTGTAGAAGGATTCCCGCCGCCAGCACTAAGGACAGGCCTGTGGCAGCCCCGGCGTGCATGTTCCGAACACAAAAAACCATGACGTAACACTCCACAGCTGAGATCACAGGGTGGGTCTGACGTTGATCTTGTGGGTCGAGGTAGATTCGAAGAACCCTGAATAAGGTGCACTTACAACGGACGTGTCTCTGAATGGTACAGGGTTTGGAGGGAATGGGTTGAGTGTATCAGTAATATCTTCCGAATGCTTCCGAATAAAGAAAGGTCCGGATGGCAAAAGAAGATAACACCTCCTTACGGTAGTGCTACCCTTCAAGATTGCGTAGATACGTAAACTCTTCAAAATTCGATTGTTCTTTGGAAATGGCGTCCTTGATGAAACAAAAGACCGTCTTTTTTCGTAAAATATCAACGTACTCTTGCTGAGCTATAAATTTGCTATATGTAAAGTGAAAGTCCTAACGTTTGATGAGAAATCTTACAAGTAGGGGAAATTCGCTTCCTCTTTTTGATACAGATTATACGTCAAATTTTCAAGATTCCTCTTCCTTAGCACTTTTGGGTGTGAAGGAAGGTCTCGTTGACAAAACTGGTGAGCACCTTGGCATGTAAGGCTTTATGTGGGAAAAAAGTTGACGTAAAAAGCAATAAATTCTAGTCCTGTCGTGACGTTTTGACCTACTTTTTTGTAGCCGTTAGAAGTGTTGGATATCAAGCCGTTTGCAATGAGCACTCTGAGGCAATTGCAAAGCAGTATGTGCAGAGCTAGCTTTGCGTTCGAAAGGATGTCGTAGATTAAGATAATAAAAAGAAAAGTTATGATAATGTTCCGCCTTGTTCCTGGAGTCTAGTCCACATCTACTTTCTTACGACCGATGCTTTGTTTTCTGTTCTGTCAATATCGGGTTCCTGTAAAAGACAAAAAGAGGGGCCAAAGTTCAGAACATTGCCTCGTTTCTGGCAGGGTCACAGAATTATGGAGGACTATTAATATACAGTTTCCATAGCAACGTCTTTCACATTTTTAGAAAAAAACCAACAGACTTATCTCTTACTTATCAAGTTTTTCATATCCGTACATCTTGTAGTTAACCTTCCAGCGAGTTTGATTTCGAAACTGTTCTTGAACTTGAGTTGTTTGGGAGCTTTCAAGGATCTTTGCTACTACGTTTGGTCGTGACGGAGATGGCCTATTTGGAGGTCCCGCCTTTCAGTAATCCAATTCATTGTTGGAAGGGGCGTTATCTTCCCTGTCAATCCACAACAATATATCGTTCACATTCAGTGCCACGCCTATATCAGTCTACAATCTATTTTCGAAATCGTATTGTGACCTCTGCAAAACAGATAGATTTATATATTTTCGATACGTAGACCCATGCAAGGTATTCTATTTTTCTGACACGTCCTCCTTCACATATTTTTTACAATTCGAAATAAAAAAAATATATAGTCTGCTTTATTTCTTAAAGTACATTCAGTATCCGACCTTTCTCAGTGCTGGTCTGTCGTCCCCTTGAAAATCTCTCTGGTATAGAAAAAGTTAAATATCACACTGGCCGACAAAAAATTTGCGGAATAAGGTTTAGCATTTGATATAGGCTACTTTGGGGTTTCTGATTTGAGAAACAGCACTAGTTTTTGTGTATCACTCAAATTTTTCTTCTTTGAAAAAGTGACATTTTTCAAGTTGAAATGACAAAATTCAGTGTTTGTCGTACAGCGTGGCCTATAGTTTGACTTACAAACTTCGCTTTTTAAATCGGAAAAAAACATATTGGACAGTACAATGTGTCACTTTTCATCCATAACATGCAATGTATCAATAATGTTTTTTATTATGTCAATGCTTTTTGTGCTACAAAAGTTATATAACACAACTGTAACTTTTCATGTAGCCTGAAAAAAATGCAATTAAGCAGTTATCCATTTTGACCTTCAATATGTACGACTAAATGTTAAAAAATATTGTAAAAAGATTGGTTTATATTGTAAAGGCTGTTGTTTGTCGTTAACACAATCCTTAGTTAGGGATGAGTCAAATGTCAAGCTGGCATTTTTCTTGATAGTAAAGGTTAAAGACAAGCATTTGCTGCTTCTATGAACATATCATCACCATCATGGATCATCTGTGAAGATGTTGATCAACTTCGACCGCAGACAGGGTCGTGGCATATGAGGCCAATGGGTGGGTGACATGCAAGTCCAGCCACAAATTAGATAAAGATCTGGTTTGAGTAATAGTGTATGCATGGGTTTAATGGCCCTATCAAAACTATTAGGCCTTTTATGAGGTGGGACCTCTGAATTTAATATCCACAAAACAAAACAATCCAGGTTCATAACATTCCGTTGGAGTTTCGAACAATAGCCATCAGCTTCGTATTCCAGCTCGATACCAACCGAATTAACGGACTGCCCGGTTTGGGTATGATACTCTCGAGGTTTCTTGGGGGTTTTTTCACCCCCTGTCTCTTGCTCCTTCAATTGGCTCTATGTGAGAGTCGTCAATAGAGGAAACAGTCTTGTACAACGGTGCCTTTACTATTAATCATTCACGATTTTTCCGCTTTTTACAGTTATTCGAAGAGTGGCAGAGACATTCAAACGTCATGTGATTTTAAGAGACAATGGATTTTCGTCTCTTTTTTTTCTCAGCTCTTCGAAAAATAGGACCATAGTAATATCACATCTAAAGCTAGTTAAGAGTGGTGAAAGCAGAATACTTTATACTTGATGATTACCAGATGAAGTAGAATTTCGAACCTGGGAATGGGAGCTAATTGCTTCCATTAACTGTTAATCTACCGCAAAGCTATTCCCTCTGCTTCGTTGATAGGTCTCCAAATAGAATTATAAAAAAATCCCCTGAGAAGTATTCATTATTATTCAATATTCGTTAGTCACACCACAAATAGCTCAAAGGCCCATGACTATCAACGAAGCACAGGGGATAGCTTTGTGGCAGATTAACAGTAAGCGGATGCAATTATCTCTCATTCCCATGTTCGAAATTCAAAACATTGTGAATGGGCGATGTGATGTCATCCTATCGTACTGTGTGCGAGCCATTGAACTCCCAGTGAATAGTGAATATTTAACAGCAAATGTTGCTGATGAACTATTGTATAAGAAAAACACATTCTCCAATTGTATTCAAAATTACGATATCACGATCAGTGACTTCACACTTCGAAGCGTCAATAAAGTTTTGTTTCCTCAAAATGACGCAACAATACTGTGTGACTTCAGACTTCGCGGTTTGCAGCAACCGTCAACCATTGGCAGTCAAGAGAATTTTTTCAGGTAGTGTTTGTGCTTCTTTTTTGGGTGCGCCTCTGTCGAGGTGACAAATGGAGAGTTCGACATACCAGGTGCTTCTGAGTTTATATTGCTCCTCTGTTTTGAAGACGTTCCCTGCGCAGCATTGCTGAGACTTCAGCAGATTGGCTGTGGAGATGTCCTTTGAGCAACTGTAGCGAACCTTTTTGTTGGAGCGCACTGTGCACAGACCTGGTCCCACCCTTTACGCCCGAGGGCTCACATTCCAATGCCCAGCAAGCTGGGACGGTGCAAATGGGCGGCTCTTCCGGTCTTAGAATTTTTCTCATTGTTGACACCTGAAGCCTTTTATATTGTTGTCACCAAACGGCAGGACGAAAAACTACAGATTCCGCCAATTCAATAATGTTTAAGTTACTGCAAATCAAGAACTCCGTGGACGCACATGCGCCAGACACTCAAATTTACTCAAAACATGGCCCGACGCAAGTAAGAACTCCAGCAAAATTAGGCCTGCCTTAGAGATCCCATAGGAGTAGTCAAGGGCTGGTTGGATCCAGTTTCTTGTAAAACAACGCCCTCCATTAAGCGTCTTGATCCCCACAATAGTAAACAGAAAAAAAACTACAACGATACTACGTACGTGTCCGTAGAATGACAGAGTTTTAACCCCCTCTTTTGCTAGAACTGATTTACACACCATACATTACTGATACAGAGGTCCTACGCTCTGTGTCAAAGGCTCCAGATAATCTTACCTATATTTTGTCAGTTTGCCATCTAACAAATAAGATGTAAAACATCTTAGCTGAGAGAGTGTGAATTTCTGAATCCCATTTCCCCAAAACCATGCCCCGTGGGGTAAGAATCTTGTCGTTCTAAGGGCGCCATCTGTTTCCTTTCGATATATCAGTTTTGGTAGTGCCATTCCAATTATACGGATCACATGAATAGGTGACACATGAGATTAGATCCTTTAAAAAAATATCTTTTTTTTTATACAAGGTCATCAGACATTGTTTCATACAAAACTGATGCTGCGGCTGGTCCCCTTTTTATACAAACCCAGTGGTAACACTTTTTCTTCAAGAACACATTTCAGGGATCATCCATGTAAAAACTGTCCCACTGATTATGTCTGATGCTCCAAGTAACCAACCACATGGTCTATCTTGTCATATATAGAGAGAGAATAGAGAGAGATGAGGTAAACAATTTTTGTCTGGCAAATAGACAGGTACACAAACGGACAGATAGACAGGTACACAAACAGATAGATAGATAGATAGATAGATAGATAGATAGATAGATAGATAGATAGATAGATAGATAGATAGATAGATAGAGGCAATGTACATGCTCTTTCTCAGAACAGATTTTTCTCGCAGAAATTTATTGTGCATTGAACCACACCGGAAATGCTAAAAGGCATCTATTTATAAACCAAAATACCACCCATTCAACACCCACGTTCATTCGCGCCCGTCAATCTAGACGCAGAAAGTGAAGCATTTACTTCGTTTACAAGATTACGCCCACAATTTGTACATTAGTTACCCTCCACAATGATGTATTTTTTTGTAAATTGAAACTTCGAAGATGTAAACTGCACCGGTATCACCTAATTTACACAGGTATCTGGGTGTCGACGGGGACGTTACGTTTAAAACCCTTTTTATAAAATTTTACAGAGGTACCCCTTTTATTTTCAGCAAAGCAGGTCAAAGCACAAGTAAGAAATCCACAGGCTAAAAATAGACTCGTTTGATTCAAGGAACATTACGTCACCCTTGGACTGGGTTATAAAGATGCTAAATTTAGCCCCGGGTTCTTTAATGAGTCCTGTAATCAGCCGATAAAACAGGCTGTGTCCCGCACGGTAAATACCTGGGCAATGAAACTGTCTGCTCGGGGGATGGACAGAGAGGGTTCCCCCTAGCCCCCCCCCTCCCCCACCACCCCCAACCGAGCTGAGCATAAAACCTGGAGGCTAGGCTTAAGTCAATATGCTGTGAACAGAACCCATTGTCAAATTTACTGGGAGGATTAATAAAACCAAAAGAATAGCATAACAAGGTAAAACAAATTAAATTGAAATACTAAGCCAGGATAGTAGACTCAGGAAACAGATAAAGTTTTATATTTCTTGGAACTACCCAGGGAAAAATTGTGTCTGTTGTTTGTGTTATTGAAAACATCATGTGACGAATTAATTTCTTGAGGGATGGAGACAGGCGTAAGCTCGATGCATGGGGAAAGTAAAGGCAGCGAGCGCTCTTTTACGAACTCTGTCCCATTGGTTTAACCAAGAAAATGGGTGTTTATTATATGAAGGTCTTTATTATTGGTTCAATTTACTTAAAATAAAACTGTAACTTGGAATGACAAAGCATTTGTTTTGTAACTTTCTCGGTTTTCATCTTTGTGATGAAAACAATTAATGACCATCTTGAAAATGAAAAGAGCACGGTTAGTTGTTCTTTAAAAAACTGTATGGATTGGTTGTAAAGGCTTTAAATAAAATGTATGGTTGTTTTATGTCCATATCGACACAATATAGGTCATTAAGGAGGCGAACTGCTTTGGTTGGTGCTGCCTGTCA